GTCACGGGAGTGTTGCTAGAGAGCTGGAAGACAGCTAATGTGGTTCCACCTTTCAAGAAAAATGGTAAATATAAGCTAAGGAATTACACCCAGTGAGTCTTGGTGGATTAGCCATGGGAAATGCAGGATTACAGGAATAGAGTGGAGGGGGTGGTGGGTGGGATGCTGTTTGGAAAATCAATCTGGATTCACTTTGGCCAAATGGCCTGCTTCTGCACTGTGGGGATTCTAATGATTCTGTAAACCACTGGTCCTTGACATTCAATGGTGTTACCATCACTGAATCCCCCGTTATCAACATCCTTCAGATTACTATCGACCAGAAACTCAAGTGGAGTTTTCACATAAACACAGTAGCTATAAGAGCAGGCCAGAGGCTAGGAATACTGTGGTGAGTAATTCATCTGACTCCCCAGAGTCTGTCCACCATCTCCCGGGCACAAATCAGGATGTGATGAATTACCCCCCACTTGCCTGGATGGGTCCAGCTCCAACAACACTCAAGAAGCTTGAAACCATCCAGGAAAAAGCAGCCCACTTGATTGGCACCAAATCCACAAGCGTCCACTTTCTCCACCACCGATGCTCAGTATCAACAGTATGTACTGGCTACAAGATGCACTGCAGAAATTCACTAAAGATCCTCAGAGACCACCTTCCAAACCCATGACCATTTCCATTTGGAAGGACTGGGACAGCAGATACTTGGGACCAGAACCTGCAATTTCCCCTCCAAGATGCCACCACCCTGACTTGGAAATATTTCACTGTTCCTTCACTGTTACTGGATCAAAATCCTGGAATTCCATCCTGAAGGACATTGTGGGTCAATCTGTAGCATGTGGACTACAGCAATTCAAGAAGGCAGTTCATTACCACCACCTCAAGGGCAGCCAGGGACTGACAAAAAATGCTGACTAACGATTGATGCCTGCGTCCCATGAGTGAATACAATAAAGGGCATCCAACTTTCCATTGAGATACTTTTAAAATTGCTTTACTGGCATAGTTAGTGGAAATATTGTTTTCAGAGTTGTACAAGGTATGTGCTAATACCTTCATCAACAACCAATTTGGGGTGATCAATTGAGCTTGTAATATCACATATTTACACTTGCTGTAAGTAACATATGCACATAATGTGCATTCCATGCAAACAAAAAGATTATGTTCAAGGCTCGTGCATTAGTTATTATTTTCCCAGGAGCAGCTCACAGATTCTTGTTGCTTTCTCTATGGCAGCGCCTCGGTCAAAAATGACTTGTCAACTAATAAACAATCTTTAGTCCTCTAATAAATTGAAATTTGACTATTGGAATTTTTGTGTTTGTCCTGATGAGTACAAGATCAAAAAGCTTCAGCAACAAGTCACTCCTTTCAGCAATACTAAAGGGAAAGTCTACAATAACGTCAGGGTTAGAGGCAAGTGAGATTATATGGCAAACGGTTTCATGGTACAAAGTGAAAAATCACATGACACCAGGTTATAGCCCAATAGGTTTATTTGAAAACGCAAGCTTTTTAAATTCAGCTCCTTCCTCAGGTGTACTGTGAGAGAGATGTATAAGACACAGAATTTATAAGCAGAAAGGTAACAACCCTAAAACTGGCTGCCTCTTGTTGAATCTTTAAACAGTTAGGAAAGAGACTACTGATTAAAATGCAAAATCTAGATTCCTTTCAAGTCATTGTCCTGAGATAATTAAGGGCTTTATCAATGTATACAAGGGGTGACATCTCAGGCCAGATAATGCATTTTAGGTGTGAGGTTTTGCTTAGAATCTGTCTATGTTTTAAACTGGGGTCAGGTTTTTTTTTTGAGCAAAACAAAATGTATCTGCAACTACACAAAAATCTTGGATGAAATAATTCATTTTGTGTGTCTGTGTGTGTGAGAGAGAGAGAGTGTGCGCATGTGTGTGTGCTTGACAGTGTGTAAATGTGAGGGGGTGTCTGTGTGTATGTGTGGGTGTCTGTGTGTGAGAGAGAGTGTGTGCGATAGAGGGTCTGTGAAAGTGTATGTGTGTGTGCTTGTGTGAGAGAGTGTGCATGTATGTTTGTGTGGGAGTATATAGAGTGATGGGGTCACCTGTAATGTGACATGAACCCAAGATCACTATTGAGACCGTCTTCATGGGTATGGAACTTGGCTATCAGCCTCTGCTCAGCGATTTTGCGTTGTTGCATAGTCCAAGTCCACCTTGGAAGACGCTTACCCGAACAATGGAGGCTGAATGTCCTTGACCCCTGAACTTTGTTATGCATGATCTCTAATCAACGCTGTACACCAGATACATTGATGACATTTTCTTCCTTTGGTCTCATGGCGAGGAATGACTGAAACAGCTACATAGCCATATCAACAAGTTTCATCCTACCATCAGACTTACCATAGAATACTCTTTAGAATCAGTCATATTCTTGGATACATGCATTTCCACTAATAACGGACACCTCAGTACCTCATCCTACTGCAAGCCCATGATAATCTCACGATGCTGCACTCCTCTAGCTTCCATCCTCTCTTTCTCACATACACACACGCATTCACAGACACAGATACATGAATTATTTCATCCAAGATGTTTGTGTAGTTGCAGATACCTTCTGCTTTGCTCAAAAAAAAACCTGACCCCAGTTTAAAACATAGACAGATTCTAAGCAAGACCTCACACCTAAAATGCATTGTCTGACCTGAGATGTCACCTCTTGTATACATTGATAAAACCTTTAATTATCTCAGGGCAATGACATGAAAGGATTCTAGATTTTGCATTTTAATTAGTAGTTTCATTCCTACCTGATTAAAGATTCAATGAGAGGGCAGCCATTTTTGGTGTTACCTTTCTGCTTATAAATTCTTAAATGTCTGATATCCTCTCTCCCACAGTATGCCTGAGTAAGGAGCACAGCTCCAAAAGCTTGTGTCTTCAACTAAACCTGTTGGACTATAATCTGGTGTCGTGTGATTTTTGACCTTGTCCATCCCAGTTCAACACCAGCATCTCCACATTATGGTACAAAGTGGTAATGGAGCAAGTAAATAAAGGGAATTCTGTCTAGAGAAGGTGTAAATAGCAAGATAGCAGCCATCCAAATGCCAAGTAAAGCATTTAGGAAAGAAATGAGAGGACAAATCAAACTAGTCCAAAGAAAAATCCAAAACCACCGCCCCATTTTGTTATGATCTAACATTTGTATTTACTGTTGAGAGAAGATAGTGAAGTGTTCAGCTGAAATGTGAAACATTAGAACACTATAAAGGGTCTGTTTCTGTGCTTTATGACTATGACTGTATGACTGAGGTCAGAAAAATCAAAGTGGAAGCAAAATAGGGAATTGATATTGCAGATAACTGCAACTGAAATCTCTGGGTCATGCTTGCGAACTGATTAATTCTGCTAAGTAGACACCCAGTCTACGCTGCTCTCTCCAGTGTAAAGGAGACAGCACTGAAGCAGCTAGTAGAGCATACTGATCAAAAGATGTAATAGTATATAGTTGTCATATGAAAGCAGTTTTTATGGTTTTAGTTGGTTAAGAGAAGAACTCAAAGGACAGGTGTTCTGTCCCCTCCATCGATGAATTTTGTGATGACTGAATAATAGACAGGATGGTAACTTTGGAATGCTGTGAGATGAGGAGAAGATTAATTGCACTTCTTATGTTACCATAGCTGGTAGAAATTTCAGAGGATGTTTCATTGGATATCGAGGTTCATATCGTGTAAGGTGAAAACAAGGGGATTGCTACCATGGTTTTGAGGAGAAGGGAAAGGAAAAAGAGTGAAACAGGGCACAGAATACTTTTTTTTTTGAGGGCCCCTCTTGAGGTTTTCTCAAGGGCTACGTCTTGATTTTTGGCAGCTACTGTTTTAGTTTTCACAGGCTACTTTTTCATCCTCACTAACTGCTTTCTTTTAATGATGCAGTCAGGTGTTTGTGTTGATGTATGGAGTATTGCACTCATACAGAAGCACAATTAGAAAAATTCACTGATGTCCTCAATAATTATCAACTGTCCATTAAATTTATGCTGCAACACACAAGAAATGCGCTGATTTCTTCGACACCGTTGTATTTAAATTGGTACGAAGACAAGTATAAGTTAACGACATTTGCTTTACAAAAATAACTGACGTACAGTTCGAAGTGTAAAAAAGCCATCACCCTAGTGTTGGAGCTAATGTGTTTCTTTTGCATATTCACAATGCTGGAATATTTTAACCATGTAGTTACTATTCTTTTTATGCATCTTTGGTCTCAATATCAGATTAATTTTAACAATTGGCACAGTGCTAACTGCAGAACTCCACATAGCAGCTGAAATCTGCACACCTTAAGCCAGATCGTCTGCATTCATTGACACATAATTTATTACCTCAGTAATTTCAAGTTCTAGTTAGGTGAGTGATCTATTATTGCCAGTTTTGAAACTGCTGTTTTTTCTTTGTATTCCCCCCTGCCAACAAACCGCCCTTGGTAGCCTCCTCCCTTGCAGTTTTCCTCTTTTTCAACATCACCCAACCCTTGCAGTCTCTCTGTCTTTCCTCTAACCCGTCCCCTCCCTCATCCATTCTCCTCCCTCCTTGCCTCCCCTCATCTTCCTTGCAGGTACCCAATTTTCCCCCATCCCCTTGAACCCTCCATGCCTCTTCCATATCTCTGGTAGCCTACATGTTGTCTTCCGCATGACTTGCCTTGATGAAAACGCAACACTCCCCTACTCGCTACACAAGTCACTATCATGGCTGCAAGTGGACATTCAGGGATTGATTCATCTGCAGCACTGTATATTTTGAGCACTGATGTGAAATGGAATGGACATTGTCAAGGGCTCTGTCAATCATGGTGGAGGAAATCTTCATTTAAGGAAAAAGGAAGGCATCAAAAGCATTAGTATGGAATGTTGCATTATGTGAACAGAAGCAATAGAAGATGGAAATATCTGTGAGAATGGACTAAAGTTTTTGATTCAATGTCATGTGATATTTCTTTCAGCTAATTTGTTCCTATGTCTTCATGCCACTTGCCTTCATAATGGGAATAGACTGGAATGACAGCTTTATGGTTGGCGAGCTCCTCGGAGTGAAAACTTTCTTCAATGAATTTGTAGCTTACGAAAAGTTATCTAGCCTGATTGCCAAAAGAATTGAAGGCAACCTTGAGTATGTTGATGGTTTGAAGCAGTATTTATCAGTAAGTAAATATAATTATATAATATCTGTGTGATATTATACTTATACAAATAGCATCATACATATTTTAATTAACTATTCAACAGGATGTTACTCTTGTTGATCATACAAGACCTGATTGAGTTAACTAGCATAGAATTACGAAATGCTCAAGATCTTATTTCTGAATTAATTGTCAGTTAATTAACTAGTTATGAATGAACTGGAATAAACCCAAGGATGAAAATTCAGGCCAGGATCAGTGTGCATCGTAATGGTGGATGAAAGTCTAGCTGGGTTCCAGTTGTGCAATAATGTGTGACTGCTATCAAGGCATGCAAAGGGTAATTAGTGACAATAATATGACCAATACATTATCCTGTACATCCACGTACATATTGGTTAATAAGACTGGGGTATTACAAGCACATTGTTTTAGGGATTATGATGTTATGGTGGAAATGGAGACCTGGCTTAGGGAAGAGCAGATCTATGTGTTCAATATTTCTGGAGGAAAGGGAAAAAAATGAGGAGTGTTAGTGTCAACAGGTGGCTAAGGAGGGCCTTACAGTCCAGGAGGAAGAAGCAAGCATTAGAGTGTTTAAGAATAGAATCCATTTAGGTATGCCTAAGGCATAAGGAGAATGAAATTACATCGCTCGCTGTAATATGTACATCGCTGTTTGCTAGGAAAGATTTGTTCAATCAAATTTTCAAGGCAGTTGCAGACAGGTGTAAACATCATTGAATAGTTACAGTAGTGGAAGCTAATTACTCATATATTGACCAAGAGACAGTGACGGCTAAGTGCTCTGAGATTGTGTTCAGGAGAATTTCCCTCAGCAGTATTTGTCTAGTCCAACATGAAGTGATGCACTGCTGGACCTGTTTCTTGCGAATGAGGTGGGCCTCATCAAGTAGATCAAGTGACAGTGGGAGAATGTGTAGGACAGAGTAATATTCTGTCTAAAGTTTTAGGATGATGGTAGGAAATGACTTTGGTCAAACCAGAGTAAAAATAGTCAACTGTCAGAGAGCAGACCTCAATGGGGCGAGAACAGAGTTGGGCCCCATAGACTGGAATGAAAGGTTAGGAGTATAAACAGTAGCTGAACAATGGTCTGCTATTAAAAAAGATATTATTTGGGTGCAGTCAACGTATATTTCCTTAAAAGTGAAAGGTAAGATAAACAAATCCAAGGTCCTTGGATGACAAAGGGGATATAAATTAAGTTACAGGAGAAAAATTGTACTTATGACAGCTGACAGGTAGTAAATACATTTGAGAATGAAGCCGAGTGCAAAAGATTCAGAAGTGAGAAGCAAAGAGGGATTATGAAGAAATGTTGTCAACTTACATAGAAGGAAATCCCAAAGTCTTCTATAAGCACATCAACTGTAAAAGAAGGAGTAGGGCTGTTTATGGACCAAAAAGAGGGATTTATACTGAGAGACATGGGACATGACTGAGGTGTTAAATGATTGCTTTGCATTCATCCTTAATTCTGAGGCAGATGCCCAGACCATGGTGACAGAGGAGGAAACTCTGTCACTAGAAGGTTTAGAATTGATAAGGAGGAGGTGTTGGATAAGCTGGATAAGGCACTGACCAAATGAGATGCATCAAAGGATACTGAAGGAAGTGAGTAGAAATTGCAAAGGCACTGGCAATTAACTTTCAATCTTCCTTGGACTTGGGGGAGGTACTGCTAGAGGTTTGGAGAATGTTAAACATTATTACTTTGTTCAAAAATACTGTAAGATTCACCCAGCAATTATAGACCAGTGTGTTTGATGTTGGTGGTGTAGAAGCTTTTAGAAACAAGTATTCTGGATAGAATTAATATAACATGGGGAAATATGGATTGATTCAGAAGAATCAGTGTGGATTTATTAAGGGGAATTTGTCTGTCTAACTTACTGGAGTTTTTTGAGGAGCTAACAGAGGGTTGAGAATGCTAGTGCTGTTGATGTGGCATACACAGACTTCCAAAAGTGTGTGATTTGGTACTACACAGCAGACTTGAGGAAATTTACGGGCATGGAATAAAAGAGGCGTAGAAATATGGATACAAAATTGGTTGAGGCATGGGAAACAGAGAGTAACAGTTAATGAGCATTTTTCAGGCTGGAAGGAAGTTTATAGTGGTATTCCCAAGGGGCCGGGATTGGGGCCCTTGATTTTCTGATATATGTAAATAATCTCAGTGTAGGGGACAATTTCAAAGTTTTTGGATAACCTTAAACTTGGGAGAATTGTAAATGGTGAAGAAGAAAGTGTGGATTTGATAAAGGTCATAGACAATTTGTCGGAATGGGTGGATAGATGGCGGATGAACTTCAATGCAGAAAAAGTGTGAGGTGATGCACTTTCAAAGTACGTGGGGAGACAGTACAAAATCAAGTGTGTTATTCTAAACAATGTGCAGGAGCAGAGAAACCCCAAGGTATATGCACATAAATTGTTAAAGGTGGCAGTTTTCTAGGCTTTATAAATAGAGAGCAAGAGCAGGGACATTATGATAAACTTATAAAAGACACACATTAGACATAATCTGGAGTGTTATGTACATGTTCTGGGTGTGACAGTGTAGAAAGAATGAAAGAATGTGAATATATTGGAGAGAGTGCAATAGAGGTTAAGGGAATGGTCCCAGGAATGAGACACTTCATTTATGAGGAAAAATTGGAAAAGTGGAACTGCTTGTCTTGGAGAGGAGAAGGCCAAGAGGAGATTTGATAAACACTGTCAAAAACATAAGGCGTCTGGACAGAATGATTATAGAGAAACTGTTCCCACTTGTAAACAGATTGGGAATTAAAGGGCAGGGTTTTAAAGTGTTTTGCAAACGAAGCTTATATGAAGTGAAGAAAAAATATTCACACAGCGAGTTCTTAGGGTATGGAATGGACTGGCTGAATTATGATGGAGCATGGATAAGTTTGGGCATTCTAAAGGGCCTTGGACAATTATTTAAATAGAAACAATATGCCGTGTTGCGAAAAAATGCAGGAGGGTAATACTAAGCTAAAATGCTGAGACAGCCAGCCATGTGTGGCTGAATTACTACTTCTAACCAAAGACCATTTGGCATTGCGTTTTATAATATTTGTATAATACATGAATCAATGAACTCAACAATATTTTTTTACTTCTCTCTTTTAGTTTTAAATCTTTTCCTCAAAAAGTTAGTTCAATTTTGCAAACTCAAATCAATTTTATTTTGTATCAGTAAATTCAAGTACAGGATCAGAAATTTTTCTGAATAATCACATATTCAGTCTCTTTACTCTGGCTTTTTCCTAGGCCCGTTCCGAAGCTATTGCTACATATGCCCTCTGTGGATTTGCTAATTTTGGTTCTGTTGGCGTTGTTATCGGAGGACTGTGTAAGCTTTTTACTTGGTGTTAATGTTTATCGCAAAAATATTAAGTCCTTTAAATCTATTAGGCTATAAAATTAGACACAGTGTTTGAACAAATCAATTTCACTCGATATTTTTAGAGCAGACATTACATTCTGAAGTATGAGGCTATGAGGTAAATTGTATGAATTTACCTGGCGCAGAACTTAAAATTACTGTGACAGACATGTGACTTATAATATGTATTTAAAGAAGACAGCAACAAGGAATGTCTAGTTTGAAAATATATCCATATACTGATATTCATTCTTGCACCATGATCATTATAAAACTATTTCCTATTTCTTCACTTTTTAGAAGCCCCTTAATTCCACATAGTTTCAGAATTCAACAATACTTTGCTTCCCAATATTGTGAATTTCACTTGTTCTACTTTCTGTTGTCAAGTTTCTAAATCCCTTACTTTTCCAACAGACCTTGTTTCTGTCTTTATAATTTACCCCCTGTTGTTACTGCTTTCAGTATGGTTTGTATGTTCTTGCTTGTAGTACTAAGGTAAGAATTTCGAAGCTTCTTCAAAATGGTGTTGTAATGCAATGGGGATAATCTTGGTATAATGGTGCTTTATTGTAGATTCCTTCTCCACTTCAGTAACACCACTTTACTCCTGCAACTGTTCTGTGCATCTTACTTTTTAAATGAGGTTTGCATCATACTGCCGTATATTTACTTGTGCAATTACTATTGTGATTGTGCAATTACTATTCTCGTAATGTAATTATGAGAAATATCTGAGAATGCTGGATGTGGAGAATACCATGGGTCCTGACAATATCCTAGAAGTAAGGCTTGAAGATATGTGCTCCAGAACTAGCTGCTTTTCTTGACAAACTGTTCCAGTAAAGCTACAACATTGGCATCCACCCGACAATGTGGAAAATTGCCCAAGCGTGTCCTCTCCACAAATTTACTTTGTTATTATTATTATTTTGTTCAATTACTGTCCCGTCAGCCTATCGTCAATCATCAATGCAGTGATTGAAGGTGTTCTCTGCAGTGCTGTCAACTGACTGTGACTCATCCATAACCTGCTCACTGATGCTCAGTTGAGTGTTCCAGCAGGGTGGTTTGGTGCTTAACTTTATTACTATGTACAAACATGGGCATTAACTGTATTCCAGAAGTAAAGGGAGAGTGACGGCGCTTGACATCAAGAAAACATTTTACTGAATGTGGCATCAAGGAGGAGCCCTTGCCAACCTATGTCATTGAAGCTCAGGGAAAACCTCCCTCTGTGGCCAAAGTCATACCTAACAAATGAAGATGACTGTGTTTGTTGGATGCTCAACATCTTAGCCCATGGACATTGCTACAGGAGTTCTTTAGTTCTGGGCCAGCTTTCTTCTGCTTGAATCATTAATAATCTTACCTCTGTTATAAGGTCAGAAATGAAGATGCTTGTTGATTGCTCAATATTTAATTCCATTCACAATCCCTTAGATAATAAGAAACCATACCCAGGTTTAGTAAGATTAGGACAAAATTCTCTCTTTAGTTGATAAATGACCAGTAACATGTGCACCACGCATGCCAGGCAATGACCTTCAGTATCAGGAACAAAAACAAAGTTGCTGGAAAAGCTCAGCAGGTCTGGCAGTATCTGTGGAGGAGAAAACAGAGTTAACATTTCGGGTCCGGTGACCCTTCCTCAGAACTGTTCTCCCTCAGAACAGCAACTTTGTTTTTGTTCCTGATTTACAGCATCTGCAGTGCTTTTGGTTTTTACCTTCAGTATCAGCCTTTGTTCAGTGGGTAGTACTCCTGCCTCTGACTCACAAATGTTTGAGTTCAAGTTCCACTTCAGGACATGAGCACAAAGATCAAGAGTGACTATAAGTTCAGTACTGAGGGAGGTTTAGATTATGAGACGTGCTATCTTTTGGACGAGGTGTTAAACCGAGGTCCCACCTACCCTTTCAGGTGGATGTAAAAGATCCCATGACATTATTTCACTTTATTTTAATGAAGAGCAGAGGAGTCCTGGTGACCTGGTTAATATTTGTTCCTCAGTCAATTTTAGATGAAAACAGATTATCTAGTCTTTATCTAATTTTGGAAGATATTTACTACAGTGTGACAATGGCACACTTCTTAACTATATCATTGACTGTAAACTTCTTTCGAGACATTCAGCAGTTGTGAAAAGTGCTGTACAAATACAAGTCTTTCCTATTTCTTATCTCTAACAAAACAGAGTGAAAAACATTACAATCATTAAATTCTTCACCATAGACATCCATGGATTGTCCTTGATCAGAAGTTTAACGTATGAATACTTCCCCAGAGGGATAAAAATAAAACGGCAAACAAAAAGTCATACTTTGAAAGGAATATTTTAGGCATATTGGACCTACATTGTGAAACGCATAGTATTTGTCATTGATATGTTTTACTGGTTTGTCCTTCTTGATTGGCTATGATTGAACATCTCAGACACTGAGCCTGGGATTTAATGCTAGCAATGGTGGTAGTCTACACTGTTAGGAGAACTGGTGGAAGCCCCCCGTCACTTCCGTGGCAGAGGCCTGAAATGGTTTTACCTGTGCACACAGTCAAGCTTTAGTAGTGTGCGATTCTGTCACTGAAAGGTGACAACGAATTAAAGGGTGATAACTTTGGGGCGGCACGGTGGCTCAGTGGTTAGCCCTGCTGCCTCACAGCACCAGGGACCTGGGTTCGATTCTAACCTTGGGTGACTGTCTGTGTGGAGTTTGCACATCCTCCCCATGTTTGCGTGGGTTTCCTCTGAGTGCTCTGGTTTCCTCCCACAGTCCAAAGATGTGCAGGCTAGGTGGATTGGCTATGCTAAATTGCCTGTAGTGTTCAGGATGTATATATTAGATGGGTTATAGGGGGATGGGTCTGGGCGGGATGCTCCGAGGGTCGGTGTGGACTTGTTGGGCCGTAGGGCCTGTTTCCACACTGTAGGGATTCTATGATGATGAACTCTCCAATACCATTGGTGCCACCAGGAACTGTGGCTACTACCAGTGCTGTGCCTGAGTATTGCTGCAGGATCATTGGACACTGAGGAGTGAGGGTCCCTGGGTGTGGGAATGGAGGGGTTTAGTGGTGGTATTAGTGGGGAGGGTTCAAGGTCAGTGGCAAGGGTGGTAGGGGCAGGGGTGGGTGGCTTTTAGCAGCAGAGGCTTTTCCCAATGCTTAGGCCCCTTTGTTGAGCATGAAGTGCCTGACCAGAGTGTATGTTTCTCCCTTTTCCCTTATTCTTCCCTGAGCAGCCTTTGAAAGGAACCAGAGAATGATACAATTCACATTGAATCTTTGGGCTATTATTAATTTTTGGTGTGCTCAGGGATAATTGGCCTCAAGTGGCAGATTATCGAGACAAATTGACATCACACTACATTAAGTGAGATTCCCAACATTATTTGGAGACGGTTTTCCCAATACGAGAATCTAATGCTGGTTTTCCCACTCGATTTCAGTTTTAATTTTGCTGATTAGGTAATAATAATTTAGTTTCATTTGAAAATACTTCATAAACGTTGAAACCGCATCCACCACATCCCCAGGAAGTTCATTCCACGTGCGAACCACCCTCTGTGTAAAAAAAATTTGTCTCTTGTGTCTTTTTTAAATCTCTCTCCTCTCACCTTAAAAATGTACCCCCTAGTCTTGAATCCCCCATCCTAGGGAAAAGACAACTACTGTTAACTCTACCTATACCTTTCATTATTTTATAAACTTCTTTCAGGCCACCTCTCAATCTCTTATGCTCTAGTGGAAAAAGGTCCCAGCCTATCCAGCCTTTCTTTATAACACAAACCTTCCATACCGGGCAACATCCTGGTAAATTTCTTCTGAACCCTCTCCAGCTTAATTTCCTTCCTATAACTGGGCTGCCAGAACTGGACACAGTATTCCAAAAATTGCTTCACCAGTGTTCTGTACATCCTTAACATGGCTTTCCAACTCCTATGCTCAAAGGACTGAGCAATGAAGGCAAGCGTGCCAGATGTCTTTTTAACCACACTGCCTATATGTGATGCAAACTTCAAAGAATTATATACCTGCAATCCTAGGTTCCTCTGTTCTACAACACTACCCAGGGCTCTACCATTAATTGTATAAGCCTTACCCTTGTTTGTTGAACCAGAATGCAATACCTTGCATTTATCCAGATTGAACTCCATCTGCTATTTTTCAGCCCATTGACCCATTTGATCAAGATCCCTGTGTAATCTTAAGAAAACATTCTTCACTGTCTACTATGCTACCAATATTGGTGTCGTCCAAAACTTACTAACCATGCCTTCTATATTCTGATCCAAATCATTTATCTAAATGACAAACAAAAGAGGACCCAGAACTGAACCCTGTGGAACACTGCTGGTCACAGGCCTCCAGTTCGAAAAGCAACCCTCCATTATTACTCTCTGTCTCCTGTCATTAAGCCAATTACGCATCCAATTGGCAAGATCAACCTGAATCCCAAGTGACTTAACTTTACTAGTTAGTGTACCTGGATAAAAACATTAATAGGAAAGGTTTGGAAGGATATGGTCTAGGAGCAGGCAGGTGGGATTAGTTTAGTTTGGGATTATGTTTGGCATGGACTGGTTGAACCAAAGGGTCTGTTTCTGTACTGTACGATGCCATGACTCTATAATGCAAATAGACTTACTGCAAGAGGTTTATTTGATTATTAGTTTCTCATTATACCCTTACCCATGTATATATGCAAATATAAAGCTTTGCTATTTCGATGTTCATTGTCCTTTCTGTTAGAATAATACATTTTTTGGGGCCGCTTAAGCTTGACATAGCTTAGGATGAGGTTGTTGATTTGCTTGCCGAGCTGGCTTGTTCTCATTCAGACATTTCGTCACCATACTAGGTGACATCATTAGTGGAACCTCCGATGAGGCGGTGTTCTTCTACTCCGCTTGGAATTTATACTGTTTGATCCATTATGGTGAGTAGTGTCATTTCCAGTTTTGATCTGTACGGGTTTGTATATGGGTCACCAAGAAACACGATCACTTCTCACTGGTCTCAATACACATGGACAAAGAAGGACACAAATTTGACTGGGACAACACATCCATAATAGCACAAGCCAAACAGAGACATGCCAGGGAATTCCGGGAGGCCTGGCATTCCAACCGGAACTCCATCAACAAACTTGTTGAACTGGACCCGATATACAAACCACTGAAAAACAGAACCAGAAGTGATGCCAACTACCCCAGCAAACCAAGGCATATAAATAGCAAGCGGGACAGAACACCAATGCTTCACCAGAGGCGCACTGTTAATGTTACCTAGCAGGGTGATGAAACATCTGCAGTCAAACACACTGGCTCAGCAAGCAAGTCTACAACGTCATTCACAACCCGAGCTAGAAATCTTCTCAAAAAAACCCCAAATATATTTTTCAACTTGTAGAGAGAAAGCAGTGAAGTGTGAAATGCATGAATTGCTCAAATGCATTTCTCAGTTGCCAGTTATATTGTTTCGTTTACTGAAACTACAATTTCTAATGAGTCATTTGATAAAGGTAGCAAGTATTTGAGATGAATATATCAGATGATCCCTGTTAAGATTCTTGTTGAGACTAGTGTTAGCAATGCTAATCTGTGTAGTAGTTGATAAGACAGCTAGCCTTAAAATTTCTGCTCTTAGGGGGAAAAAAAAATCAGCATTGTGCCCGCTGTCCATTCCTGATTGCTTACTAATGATCACATGGACAGAGTCCATATGTTTAGTAATGAGACACATTCTCCCAAACTGCCTACTTCCTGTGGATGAGGAAATGCTGTTAGAGGAACAGTGTGACTTTAAGCCTTCCAAATGATCCTCCAAAGTAATCTCTGTTGTAAGAAAATTCTAAGAAAAATGTCCAAAATATCATGAGAAACATTTTATTGTTTTGCTTATATTGATGAATGCATTTGATTCACTAAATTGTGAAGTTTTTTGAACTGTGTTCCAACAGTTTTGATATCCAAGAAACTTTACAATCCTGCATTTTACTTCAAGACAATAGGAATGTAACTTTATTGAGTGGGATATCTGATTGCCTTCAAATCTGGATTGGTATTGAGCTAGTCTTTGTGGTAGCCCCCATAGTATTTGCAGTCTACCTGACAATGGCTATTCAGCTCATTAACAATCAACTACCAGTGTTTTCAGTATTAAATACCGACTAGATGGACAACCTTAACCTCCGACATCTATATTCTGAAATTTAAATTGACAGATCTACAGTTTTTGGATGATTTCCTCACTCTGCACCAGATTTGCAAGTGCCTCTCAGTTTCTTCAATTCTACTTACACAAAATTTGGTCCATCTGTCAACATTACCAAAGCAAAAGTAATATCAACCCATTTCTGTCAGCTTAATATTCCATCTCCCGTTTAAGGAGAGACTGGAATATTTTAACCTTCCTTTACCTTGGGATCCAGCATTGATGAGATGCTTCATTGCAGCATCAATTATGCCAGCTCAATATTCCAAAACCTACTGCAAGTCAACAAACGCTCTAATGTTTTGAGCAGTCATCATCACCTGACTCCTCTACTGCAGTGAGACCTGCCTGTGTGTTAGCAGCAGATAAAAACAGTTGAAAAATCATCAGCAGTAGCTCCACTACATAATTTGGATTCTATGGGAGGACCATCAAAATAGCACTGGTGCCCTTTCTGAAACAATCTCCACATGAATTCGAGCAATACTTCTGCAAAATTCACTCTGGACTGGGCACTACGTCCATATGGCTGAAAAGCATTTTCTTTGCTAGGTCTTATGTTTCCAACTCTCAATGACCAAAGTTCCAGGGGACGTCAGAGAAAATGCTACAAATATTCTCTGATTCTTTCCTTGTATCACAGCAGTGTCGACTTACTGATTAGGAGGAGTTTGTTACCACCCATTCAGAATGGTGACAACTGGTCTACCAAGCTGTAACATGCTTTGAGAGTTATAATATATTGATAAATATTTTATTCAAATATTTTACTAAATTTTTTTTACAACAAGTATTGGCAACCACTGACAACAATCTCAGACAGGTTTGATTAACATTAATTACAGTATATATACATATCTCAACTATATCAATTTATATGTTTATCAATTCTTTTGTTTATTGATCTCTATGTTTATCAATTTGATTTCTTGATAGCATCTTTGGCTCCAGAAAGACTGCATGACATAGCAAGCGTCAGTATTCGGGCTCTCATCGCTGGTACTGTTGCCAGCTTCATGACCGCCTGCATTGCAGGTATAAATTGCACATTATTTCTAATATACATAATTTTCTGCAGAAGGGCAATGAATGGTGTCCACTGTTAGTTGAACATATGGTGTCCATTTAATCTAGCGATATTTTGTGCCCCAAATTACAGTGCAAATTGATAACATTGCAGTGAAGAAATGAACCTAAGTGAATGAGGTAAGCAACAACTTTTCATTCTAGCTACTGTGGGTAAGAATCTCCTCATCCTGCTTTATGTTGTCTCTTCAACCTTAATAAAGCAACTTTAATCTTCACGTATACTCAACAAATCAAATTCGCGAAGGTAGACTGGAAGATGAGTTTATGAAATGATGTCACAATAGTTTCCTGGAATAGTACGTAGTCGAACCAAGCCGCGATAATACCTACCATTTATAACAATGTGTAATGAGGCAGGTTTGATTAATCATTTCAAAACAAAAGACGCCCTGGGACAAAGCAATCATAATCTATTTGAATTCCATATTAAATTTGAAAGCAATATAATTCAGTCATGCACAAGAATTTTAAAATTATACAAAGCCAACTACATTGGTATGAAAGGAGACTTCAATGAGCAAAGTACTGCAGATACTGGGAATCTAACATAAAAACAAAGTGCTGGAGATGCTCAGCAGCTCTGGCAGCATCTGTGGAGAGAGAAAAAGTTAACCAGAACGCTGGTTTGGGTTCTGAAGAAGAGACAAATTGGACTCAATGTTAACTATTTGTGTCTCCACAGATACTTCCTTCACATGCTGTGTGTCTTCAGAATAGAAGGTCCATATTGTGTGTCAAAAAGTAAAAGTTAACCAAACAGTTAACAGGAGTGAGAAATGTAAGATAAATAAAATCAACAATGAAATGGATCAGAGAAATGTAAGTAACTTAATGTCAACAAATCCCTAAGAGCAGATGACCTGCATCCAAGAATTTTAAAAGAACTAGCTGAAAAGATAATGCGCCAGTTAGGATTTTCCAAAATTCCTTGGGTTCTGGAATGGTACTAATGGATTAGATGTTGACAGATGCAACTCTGCTTTGCAAAAATGAGATAGAGATAAAACTAGGAACTACAGACCAGGTCGTCCAACATCAGTCGTCATGAAAATGCTGGAATCTGTTGTTAAACTCTTAGCAGTGCATTCAGCAAATTGTGTTATGATCAGACAAAGTACACATGGTTTATGAAGCAGAAATTGTACTTTCCAAATTTATTTCAGTTGTTTGAGCATTGGGTGAACAAAAAGGAAGCCTTTTATTCAAGTATACTTGTATTTCCAGGTGCATTTGAAAAGATGTGGGCAGCACAGTGGCTCAGTAGTTAGCACTGCTGCCTCACAGTGCCAGGGAGACCCTCAGGTGACTGTCTGGCTGTGTGGAGTTTGCACATTTTCCCTGTGTCTGCATGGGTTTCCACCAGGTGCTCTGGTTTCCTCCCACAGTCCAAAGATGTACGTGCTAGGTGGATTGGCCATGCTAAATTGCCCATAGTGTTCAGGGCTGTGTAGATTAGGTGGGTATAGTGGGGTGGGTCTGGGTGGGATGCTTTGAGGTTCGGTGTGGACTTGTTGGGCCGAAGGGCCTGTTTCCACACTGTAGGGATTCTGTGATTCTGAAAAGAGGTTAATTTGCAAGATGAAGGATCGTAGAGTTGGGAGTAGAACATTATTTATTGGACTGAAAGCGGAGATTAGGAATAAATTGTCATTTTCCAGTTGGCATGTTGTGTCCAATAGAGTTATACATGGTCAGCGCTAGGGCCTTCGCTTTGTGTGATCCAAAGTGAAGACCATGAATGCAAAGAGCAATGACAGTGTAAAATCTGGATGGTGACATTGGGAACGTGATGGACGTGGCTCTGTGCCTGCTGCAGAATCTGGTGACCAGGGCCTGAAACTTGTCTGCGCTCCTGCTAATTACCCTAAGTCTCATTTGGCTACCTTCTGGAAATAGGCCTAGGTGGAGCTGACTCCTCCAACTCCTGGAGAAATCTCAGTGACTGTTGAAAGCTTTTAAGCATCTATTAACATCATTTAAGGCAGCTGCTTACAAACATAAGAACATAAGAACTAGGAGCAGGAGTAGGCCATCTGGCCCCTCGAGCCTCCCGCACCATTTAATAAGATCATGGCTGATCTTTTTGAGACTCAGCTCCACTTACCCGCCCACTCACCATAACCCTTAATTTCTTTACTGTTCAAAAATTTATCTAGCCTTGCCTTAAAACATTCAGCGAGGATGTAATGTCCCAAACATGTAATTGTAAAGGATGCCCTGAGGAACACACTAGTGGCCACTGAAATTGCAATGTGTTTTTACATTGGCGAGGTCATTGGCTAAAAAACCTTGATTGGGTACAAAGTCTGGAATGAATCAACATTTCATAAATGAATGAATAATATTTCAAATTAAATAAAACCATTACTAGGGCTTACACAGGGAAACAACCTGTAAAGTGCAGGAACACAGAATGAGACCATAAGAAGAGCTGGAACACAGAATGCGGGTAGTATGAAGATCTGGAATACAAAGCAGTGATAGCTTAATGAACAGGAACATAAAATGGCTGCATTGTGAAGAGCAGAACCTCAATGGTGGCGATGTAATGAGTGGGAATATAGAATGGAGGCAGTATAAGGAACAGAAAGACAACAGAGGCCATGTAAAGAGCAAGACCACAGAATGGGGTAAAAGCAAGAACATTGAGGCAATAGTTTAAAGATTGAAACTACAGTATATGAAAATAAATCTAAATCTGAGGGAAGAATGTAAGTGAATGGTTGCTGAGTGTTTTTCCATTTCTTTAAGCTACAACATTTGTTCAAATTGGGTGCTGGGAAATTAGAATTTTAAGTGGTTAGCATAACAGTAAGTGAAGTAATATGAACACAGCGATTTTGAATTTATATATTAAAATGAATAGATGAAAGCAGGGTACTAATTAGTTTGTTGAAGAGGCATCAGAGGGCTTTTTTTTAACATAATGTATGAGCATTGGCAAAGATCTGTCGCTCGGGTTGTGGATGAGGTTGTTGACTTGCTCGCCGAGCTGGCTTGTTTTTGTTCAGACGTTTCATCACCATGCTAGGTGACATCATCAGTGGAGCCTCCGATGAAACGATGTTATTCTACTCCGCTTGGAATTTATACTGTCCGGTCCGTTATTGAGAGTACTGTCATTTCCGGTTTTGATCTGTTTGGGTTTATATATGGGGTCCAATTCTATATGTTTGTTGATTGAAGTATGGATGGAGAACCATGCCTGTAGGAATTCCCGTGCATGTCTATAGTTGGCTTGGGCTACCAAGGTTACTCTGTCCCAGTTAAACTGATGGCCTTCGTTGTCTGAATGTACACATATTAAGGAGAGTTCATCGTGCTGTTTTGCTGCTAGCTGATGTTCGTGTATTCTGATGGCTAGTTTTCTTCCTGTCTGTCCAAGAAAATGTTTGTGGCAGTCGTTGCATGGTATTTTGTAAACCACGTTCATTCTGTATGTTGTGGGAATGGGGTCTTTAATCCTTGTAAGTGTTGGTCTTAGAGTGGCTGTGGGCTTGTGGGCCACCATGATTCCTAGTGGTCTTAGGAGTCTTGTCAGTTCCAATATATTCCTGATGTAGGGAAGTATGGTAAGTGTGTTAGGTCATACTGTATCCTCCTGTTGTCTGTTATGTAGGCATCTGCGGATGAAGTTGCGGGGATATCCATTTAGGGCGAGGATCTTGTATAAGTCTTCTTCTTCCTGGCGTAATTCTAGAGTGTTGCAGTGTGTCCTGGCCCATTTAAATAGTATCCTAATGCAGCTCTGTTTGTGGATGTTGGGGTGGTTGTTGTGGGAGTTGAGGATTTAATCTGTATGGGTTGCTTTTCTGTATACTGAGGTTTGGAACTCACCGTTTGTCAGTCGTTCTACCTTTACGTCCAGAAATGGAAAATGATTGTTGGTTTCTTCTTCCCTTGTGAATTTAATCCCTGTGAATATGCTGTTGATGAGGTGGTGGGTCTCTTCTAATTTGTTGCATTTAATGATGACAAATGTGTCATCTACGTACCAGATCCACAGTTTAAGTATGATGTAGGGGAGGGTAGTGTGTTCTAGTCTTTGCATGACTGCTTCTGCGATGAGTCTTGAGATGGGTGACCCCATTGGTGTACATTGATCTGTTTGTATATTTGACCATTAAAGACGAAGTGTGTGGTGAGGCAGAGATCTAGTAATTTTAGTATGTTGTCCTTGCTGATGAACCCCAATGTCATCAGGCTCCACTGATGATGTCACCTAGCATCGTGACGAAACATCTGAACAAAAACAAGCCAGTTCAGCAAGCAAGTCAACAACCTCATAATGTATGAGCATCTAAGACTTGTCGCTTGCAATTCTTGCACTGTGTGGAACTTCAGAATACGTCACTGTCTTAGGTACCAAGTATGTCAGAACTGTCTCCAGCTGCTTTAGCCTGACCGCAATGAGCTTGAGGAGCAGCTGGAGTTAGTGCATAGCATCAGGAAGGATGATAGTTTCCTGGATTGAATGTTCTGAGAAATGGTGACCCCAGAGCCAGTGAGAGTTTAGGATAGTAGATGGATAACCAAATGAAAGAAGCAGGAAATGCAGCAGTCCTCAGGGTATGTGCGCCACTTTCAATAGATTTTCAGTAAGTGATTCCTCAGTTAATGTTGTTGTTACATTCCTGGAATGTACAATATTACATGAAACAACATTAAACAAGTCAGAATTTTCCTGTTTTAACACACATAAAAGTTTAAGTTGTTACGTGCGACCTTCCCCACAAAAAGACATGCAAACATTATATTCTAAGTTAATGTATTTTACATTGATAAATTCCTATGTTTGTAACAAAATAACTTCTAAAATAAGTTTAAGAAATTAAAAGAAATATGCTAACTCTTTCTATTGAACTCTAGTCACCAAATCTCCAGATCACTGGCTCTCCAGTTCTTCAATCGTCTAGTTCATTGTCTTTCCTACTTACTGACTTCAC